GCATAGTGTTTCTATAAACTATATAAGTAATTTACTTTATATAGTTTATATATATATAGGTTATAATATATATATATATATAGTTTATACATACATATTATATAAAATTATTTAAAAAAATTTTTAAATGTAAATTATATAAAATATGATTAATTAGGTGTTAAATAATTAGTATGTCACATTGCATATTATATGGTTCATAAATAGTAGTACATACCATATTAATTTCATTTGCATAATTAGTATTTTAGTTGCATGTTAGGTTAATTCACATTAATAGCCCATTTATTTTGTTGTTATGAATAAGTAATAATAAAACCAAAAAATAAGTTCATTTCCAATAGTGCTAGTCCATTTACATTTGTTTACATAGGCCCAATACATAAGCCCACTCTTTTATTACAAATACATATGCATTAATGTTAGTCCATTTATATTAGGGTTTATGGTTTAGGATTAGTGATTATGGATTAAAGTTTCTAGTTTAGGGTTTTTGGTTTAGAGTTTAGGGTTTCTATAAACTATATTCTTTATTACTTTATATAGTATATATATATATATATATATACATGTTTTATACATACATATTATATAAAATTATTTAATAAAATTATATAAATGTAAATTATATAAAACATGATTAATTAGGTGTTAAATAATTAGTATGTCACATTGCATATTATATGGTTTACAAATAGTAGTACATGTCATTAATTTAATTTGCATAATTAATATTTTAGTTGCATGTTAGGTTAATTCACATTAATAGCCCATTTATTTTGTTGTTATGAATAAGTAATAATAAAACCAAAAAATAAGTCAATTTGCATTAGTGCTAGTCCATTTACATTAGTTTACATAGGCCCAATTATAAAATATTTTATTGCAAATATATATGCATTAGTCTGAGTCTATTTATATTAGGGTTTAGGGTTTAGGGTTTAGGGTTTTTATAAACTATATATTTTATTACTTTATATAGTTTATGCATAGTGTTTCTATAAACTATATAAGTAATTTACTTTATATAGTTTATATATATATATATAGGTTATAATATATATATATAGTTTATACATACATATTATATAAAATTATTTTAATGTAAATTATATAAATCATGATTAATTAGATGTTAAATAATTAGTATATCACATTGCATATTATATGGTTCATAAATAGTAGTACATGCCATATTAATTTCATTTGCATAATTAGTATTTTAGTTGCATGTTAGGTTAATTCACATTAATAGCCCATTTATTTTGTTGTTATGAATAAGTAATAATAAAACCAAAAAGTAAGTCGATTTGCATTAGTGCTAGTCCATTTACATTAGTTTACATATGCCCAATACATAAGCCCACTCTTTTAATGCAAATATATATGCATTAGTCCTAGCCCATTTATATTAGTGTTTATGGTTTAGGGGTTAGTGTTTAGGGTTTCTATAAATTATATATTTTATTACTTTATATAGTTTATGCATAGTGTTTATATAAACTATATAAGTAATTTACTTTATATAGTTTATATATATATAGGTTATATATATATATATATATATATATATATAGTTTATACATACATATTATATAAAATTATTTAAATGTAAATTATATAAAACATGATTAATTAGGTGTTAAATAATTAGTATGTCACATTGTATATTATATGGTTCATAAATAGTAGTACATGCCATATTAATTTCATTTGCATAATTAGTATTTTAGTTGCATGTTAGGTTAATTCACATTAATATCCCATTTATTTTGTTGTTATGAATAAGTAATAATAAAACCCAAAAATAAGTCCAATTCCAATAGTGCTAGTCCATTTACATTAGTTTACATAGGCCCAATACATAAGCTCACATTTTATTACAAATATATATGCATTAGTGCTAGTCCATTTATATTAGGGTTTATGGTTTAGGGTTAGTGTTTATAGTTTAAAGTTTAGGGTTTAGGGATTATGGTTTAGGGTTTTAATAAACTATATACTTTATTACTTTATATAGTTTATGCATAGTGTTTCTATAAACTATATAAGTAATTTACTTTGTATAGTTTTTATATATATAGGTTATAAATATTGTTTATATATATTATACATGGTTTATACATACATATTATATAAAATTATTTAGTGTTTGTGGTTTAAAGTTTGTGGTTTAGGGTTTAGGGTTTCTATAAACTATATACTTTATTACTTTATGCATAGTGTTTCTATAAACTATATATGTAATTTACTTTATGTAGTTTATATATATATAGGTTATATATATATTGTGTAACACCCCAACCCGTATCCAACCCGGATACGAGTCCGAAGTGTCGCATTGACTTTTCAAACCTTTATTCGTATAAAATAGTGAGTAATTTTAAAAACTTTTATAACATTTAACTTATTCAAAACATTTACAAAACTATTCAGAGCTTATTCAATATATTCTTTTGATTACATGCCAACTAGAACTTTATATAAAAAAATATACATATTATTCACCTCTCTTCTGATCTGACATTCGGTAAGGAGAACTGACATGTCTTGTTCCTCTTTACTTCTCTTTTCGCTTTCCAAACCTACGTGTGAAACAATCACACGCTAAGTCGATGACTTAGTAAGGCATATAAAACATATAATATTTCATATAACATAAAGCATACATAAACATATACCATCATTATCATAATCTCTATCATTATCATTAAGAAACACATATAACATCATATGGTTCATGTAACACATTTCGAACCACTTACTTTTGATAACCATTTATAAACCCATCGTATACATATCACATTCAGTATGTTTGTTTAATCTCTTTATTAGCCCATGTACACTAGTGAGAACTTAAGGTATGTGAGTACATTGAGGTTGTGCACACATATGCTGTCACCACATCTCATATAAATGCCCCGAAGGACCACATATCATTCTTTAAGAATCATATACATATTCCAAGGATCAAGTATGTGTCTCACCAGAATTCACACATGTTTCAAAGAATACATATATGTCCCGAAGGACCTATCCAGAGGTCATAAAGATCCTCAGTAACTATCCAGAGGTCATAAAGATCCTTGGCAACTGTCCATAGGTTCCGAATAACCTAGGTAAACTGTCCATATGTTCCTTAGAACATAGGTATACTGTCCATATGTCTCGAAAGACATAGTTAATTCTGTCCATATGTTCCGTAGAACATAGGTATACTCTCGACTCTTGGCATGCCAACTATACCCCTAGCTCTCATATCACATAACATGGGCATTATCATTTATAACATTTCATATCACTTGTTATTTCTCTTCTGTCACATACCACATGTATGTGTAACCATATATCTCATATCATATCACATGTATCACAAGTGCATGTATTCACGTAGATCGTTTCATATGACTTATATCATTTCTCATTTGTTCATGTAACTTGGATGTCATATCATGTAACATATAACACATAATCATATAGGCTCACAGTTTTATCACCTATCATGTTATTTCACATATACACTTTTATATCGCATAAACTCATATATATCATATCACCTATAATAACATATGACACATATACCCATAACTTCATATCACATACTTATATCAATTAACACTTAGTCACATGGGTCATTTCTCATAACATATATCACATCACATATGTTCATGGTTATATCCCATAGCATATAAAATAACATATAAACTTATATATTTATTCATGTGTATACTTTCATTTATCCTATATATCAATTTCATATAACTTATCTCATAACTTATTTGATATTCATATATATTCTCATCTTATAACTTATATTACCTATGCATATAACCTTATGACTTATTATCAAGTACTCAACTAATGTTCCTATATGGTTCCATCTTTATCATATAACCTATGAGCTATTCTTATATTACCCTATATCAACCATACTTTGTTTATCTCACTTTTCATATCATTCATTTATCACATATATGGCACTTTTCACTTATCACATAGTTTACATCCTATGATCATAGAATCATATCAATAACACATATACTCATGCACACATATAAATTATAACAAACACATACCTCTATGAATTCATGCATTTTACTATTGGAAATAGACTTATCATAAGTCTTATTTTCCATTTAACATCATATACTAAATAATGTGCACTCACCTTAGCTTTTCTTTGATTCGATTCTAATCCTTCAATTGATTCAGAACAGGATCACGTTCTATATCTACATAATCATACATAGATCTATATTAGTATTATAACTAATATACTCTAATGGTTCACTCTTTAGATTAAGATAAATGTCAATTTCTTCTTTCAATAAGGGAATGCATCGATGCACTACTGATGCATCGGTGCATAAAATACATTCGATGTTGTATTATTATTGGGATACATCGATGCATGCCTTATGCATCGATGCACTAATTGCATTCGATGTTTCTATTTTAAAAGAGTGCATCGATGCACTACCTGTGCATCGATACACCTTCAAACAAATTTCTGGGTTTTAACCTTGATGCATCGATGCACAATGAATATGCATCGATGCACTCTGCCCAGAATCCTCTTTTTAAACCCGAAAATCATTCATTTTGGCTTAAATCCTTCATGTTTCATCCCCTTTTTCATTTTTCACTCTAGTACACATACTTAAATATACTCATTTATTTCATCTTAAACCTTAAAATCCCATATTCCATATGTAATTCAATAATTACATCAATTTTGCAACATGTTTCAAATCCAATTATATTACTTCATATCTCTTACTTAGATTGATGACAAGTCAAATCCAACTTTCAATTCTTATTAGAAACTCTATTTCAAGATTTCATTCAAGAACCACTAATCTTTAATCTTCTCTATCTCCTTTATCTTTTGATTTTAGGACAAACTATGCTTTCCATAAGCTTAGTTATCATCTAATGATCAAAACCCAATCTTAAACTTAACAAATAATTAACTAAGTAGAAGACTCACCTTTGAGCTTGGAGATACGGGAGGAGAGGAAGAAGAAGAAGAAAAGAGAGTTTCTAGAGAAATCTCTCAATCTTATCCCATATATATCATTATCTTATCATTTCCAAGTCAAATGACCACTTTGCCCTTAAAATCCTTTAATAATTACTAACAACTTTTAGGATTTATTTTCAGATAAATCATTGAACTAATTCATTCTTCTACTTTAATCATCAACTTTTGAAACTTTACAATTAAGTCACTAACCCATAGTTTGGGATGTTACAACTCTCCCCTCCTTATAAGAAAATTCATCCTCGAATTTTCACTGCACATCTTGATAAGAACATATCTTCTAATGTTCTTATGTTGCTTCCCTGACTTATTCTTTCTTGTCATCATCGGACACTTACTTTTCAATCCTTTAGTTTTCCAACTATCTTTTTCGTTATACATTCATCTTTTGTTGCTTATCATATAAATAATAACCAGTAATATCAATCCATTGTTGTCTTTTCTCTCATTCGATTATGCATTTTTCCTTTGACCTTTCTAAAATTCATATAATGTTACTTATCTTGTAGACAGTAACATCAATTCTTATCACTCAAAATCAAAAATCAATCAATTGATTTCTTTCCTCATTTTCTAATTAATTCACCACAATCCAAACTTTTACTCATTCTTTCATCATTGTCTGTATTACGATACACATAATCTCTTCATATAACCTTACATACTTTTCTTACTTCTAATCAAACTTACAATCTGCACTTCCTTATAACCCTTTATCATATTTAATCATTTAAACACCATCTTTTCATTTCTTTATCCATTTATCCTTTTATTATCAAAATCTTCTTATATACATATCATATCTTTATCACCTCTTTATAACGTTAATAACGAACTTTACTTATACATAACCTCATTCTTTACTATCTCTTATAATTGTATTTTCCTTCATCAACTTTTAATCCTTTAACTTAATATACTCCAACTTCATAACTCTGTTAATCAACATCGATTCTTCTAATCTAAAGCAAAAACCTTCATCTAACCATTCATATACATTCTTTGTAATCGAAATAATTTCAACAATTACCAAATCTCAATACTCATCTCACCCCTTTATAATACTTTTCCCGCTTCAATTTTCATAACTCTAACAGAACTTTTAATCTAATTCACAAAGATTGTCTTTAACCTTGGTTTATTATCAATTAAATCATTGTTTAATCTTTTAGTACCATACCATACTAATTGAGTCTGTCTGACTCTCTTTGATGGTACTGAACTCTATGAAGCACTAATTCTCTTAATCATATCCACACTCTTGCTTATACCCAATATTATCCCTTCGTTTCAAACTCATAAGCTCTGGCTTCATATACCTTATACACTTATCACTGATGCACTTATCCTTGAACTCTTTTACAAATTCTCACTAATTCATTTAATCTTTTAACGTTCTTATGGTGACACTCATTCACCATATTCCATCTTATCCACATAGTAACAAATTTCTCAATTTAATTTCTCCACTATGGAGAAATGAACATCTTCTAGCATTATCTTCATATCATTTATCCAAAGGTCTGTAACAACAGAGCCTTCCTCAAATTCACCCTTGAGCTCGGGTGCTCATAACTCTTTTAACTATTTCGATACATTCATTCTATGAATTAACGAAGTATACAATTGAAAACACATCGGAATATCATTCAACATCCTGAATCATTCTCTAATCTTATAGAGACATTCCCTGAGGTTTTCGCTCTTCTCCCTGCCTGACCAGGGCAGGTGAATGCTATTACCTTCAGGGCAGGTGAATGCTATTACCTTCAGGTCTATCATATTGTATTTCACTTTAGAAACTCTCATATCATTTCTTCTATCACATATCACGAGTGTATATGATCATCCAATTCATATCATATAACATGTCATTTGCATATGTTCACATATCACCTATCATATCATATAAACATATATATATCTCATAAATCATTCTCAGTATTCTCTTATCTTATATAACATAACAATTTAACTCTATTAACAAGACAACACACTCCTTACCCTAACATATCAGATTTTTTTTTTCACTTTGTGTTGGCATGTACACTTTTTAAAACACTTTTGCTTTCGTTTTTAGCCTAGAATCGGCTAAACCGTAGCTCTGATACCATTAAATGTAACACCCCCAACCCGTATCCAACCCGGATACGAGTCCGAAGTGTCGTATTGACTTTTCAAACCTTTATTCGTATAAAATAGTGAGTAATTTTAAAAACTTTTATAACATTTAACTTATTCAAAATATTTACAAAACTATTCAGAGCTTATTCAATATATTCTTTTGATTACATGCCAACTAGAACTTTATATAAAAAAATATACATATTATTCACCTCTCTTCTGATCTGACATTCGGTAAGGAGAACTGACATGCCTTGTTCCTCTTTACTTCTCTTTTCGCTTTCCAAACCTACGTGTGAAACAATCACAAGCTAAGTCGATGACTTAGTGAGGCATATAAAATATATAATATTTCATATAACATAAAGCATACATAAACATATACCATCATTATCATAATCTCTATCATTATCATTAAGAAACACATATAACATCATATGGTTCATGTAACACATTTCAAACCACTTACTTTTGATAACCATTTATAAACCCATCGCATACATATCACATTCAGTATGTTTGTTTAATCTCTTTATTAGCCCATGTACACTAGTGAGAACTTAAGGTATGTGAGTACATTGAGGTTGTGCACACATATGTTGTCACCACAGCTCATATAAATGTCCCGAAGGACCACATATCATTCCTTAAGAATCATATACATATGCCAAGGATCAAGTATGTGTCTCACCAGACTTCACACATGTTCCAAAGAATACATATATATCCCGAAGGACCTATCCAGAGGTCATAAAGATCCTTGGCAACCGTCCATAGGTTCCGAAGAACCTAGGTAAACTGTCCATATGTTCCTTAGAACATAGGTATACTGTCCATATGTCTCGCAAGACATAGGTAATTCTGTCCATATGTTCTGTAGAACATAGGTATACTCTCAACTCTTGGAATGCCAACTATACCCCTAGCTCTCATATCACATAACATGGGTATTATCATTTATAACATTTCATATCACTTGTTATTTCTCTTCTGTCACATACCACATGTATGTGTAACCATATATCTCATATCATATCACATGTATCACAAGTGCATGTATTCACGTAGATCGTTTCATATGACTTATATCATTTCTCATTTGTTCATGTAACTTGCATGTCATATCATGTAACATATAACACATAATCATATAGGCTCACGGTTTTATCACCTATCATGTTATTTCACATATACACTTTTATATCGCATAAACTCATATATATCATATCACCTATAATAAGATATGACATATATACCCATAACTTCATATCACATACTTATATCAATTCACACTTAGTCACATGGGTCATTTCTCATAACATATATCACATCACATATGTTCATGGTTATATCCCATAGCATATAAAATAACATATAAACTTATATATTTATTCATGTGTATACTTTCATTTAGCCTATATATCAATTTCATATAACTTATCTCATAACTTATTTGATATTCATATATATTCTCATCTTATAACTTATATTACCTATGCATATAACCTTATGACTTATTATCAAGTACTCAACTAATGTTCCTATATGGTTCCATCTTAATCATATAACCTATGAGCTATTCTTATATTACCCTATATCAACCATACTTTGTTTATCTCACTTTTCATATCATTCATTTATCACATATATGTCACTTTTCACTTATCACATAGTTTACATCCTATGATCATAGAATCATATCAATAACACATATACTCATGCACAGATATAAATTATAACAAACACATACCTCTATGAATTCATGCATTTTAATATTGGAAATAGACTTATCTTAAGTCTTATTTTCCATTTAACATCATATACTAAATAATGTGCACTCACCTTAGCTTTGCTTTGATTCGATTGTAATCCTTCAATTGATTCAAAACGGGATCACGTTCTATATCTACATAATCATACATAGATCTATATTAGTATTATAACTAATATACTCTAATGGTTCACTCTTTAGATTAAGATAAATGTCAATTTCTTCTTTCAATAAGGGTATGCATCGATGCATTACTGATGCATCAGTGCATAAAATACATTCGATGTTGTATTATTATTGGGATGCATCGATGCATGCCTTATGCATCGATGCACTAATTGCATTCGATGTTTCTATTTTAAAAGAGTGCATCGATGCACTACCTGTGCATCGATACACCTTCAAACAAATTTCTGGGTTTTAACCTTGATGCATCGATGCACAATGAATATGCATCGATGCACTCTGCCCAGAATCCTCTTTTTGAACCCGAAAATCATTCATTTTGGCTTAAATCCTTCATGTTTCATCCTCTTTTTCATTCTTAACTCTAGTACACATACTTAAACCAATCTATACTCATTTATTTCATCTTAAACCTCAAAATCCTATATTCCATATGTAATTCAATAATTACATCAATTTTGCAACATGTTTCAAATCCAATTATATTAATTCATATCTCTTACTTAGATTGATGACAAGTCAAATCCAACTTTCAATTCTTATTATAAACTCTATTTCAAGATTTCATTCAAGAACCACTAATCTTTAATCTTCTCTATCTCCTTTATCTTTTGATTTTAGGACAACCTAAGCTTTCCATAAGCTTAGTTATCATCTAATGATCAAAACCCAATCTTAAACTTAACAAATAATTAACTAAGTAGAAGACTCACCTTTGAGCTTGGAGATACGGGAGGAGAGGAAGAAGAAGAAGAAAAGAGAGTTTCTAGAGAAATCTCTCAATCTTATCCCATATATATCATTATCTTATCCTTTCCAAGTCAAATGACCACTTTGCCCTTAAAATCCTTTAATAATTACTAACAACTTTTAGGATTTATTTTCAGATAAATCATTGAACTAATTCATTC